TAAAGAGGAGAATGGTGGTCCCTAGAAAAGCATATGGTTTCCAGGGGGCTTTTTTTTTTGGTGGGGGGGGCGGTGATTGGTTCATTTGTTGATTTGTTTTTGTTATAATGAGACAGATGAGGGCATACATAAGTGCTGATGGAAAGGTCTAATAGGGAGGAAGGGATTGAAACAAAATAAGAAAGAGGCAAAATAATTAGTATTCTTGAAGAAAGCCTGAGGAGCTGGAATTCAGAGCACATGTAAAGGGGCTGGCTTTGGTGGAAAAGGGAAAACACTGGCTGTATGAAATTCCTATCTGGTAGCTCCCATTTTTCCAGTGAAATGAAGGCAAGGTAATCAGCTGAGAAACAGAGAGTTGGAGACTGGAGAAGAATAGAATGGGTTGAGAAGAGATTTTGCAAAAATTTGAAGACCAAGCTACCAGGTATTTTTGGTGGTCTAGTTGAGGTCACTGACCATGAATTTGTGGTGGTACCAATCTGCCTCACTGTGTTTTTCTCCAAGTGTTTTCAGCAGCCTGAGTGCAGACATGGAGAAGACATACAGGTTCACCTAGGATTGGGATTTGCCAGAGAATCTGCAGGAGAACAATAGATGTGATAGATCTGCAATCTATTCATAACAGGAAGAAAACAAAAGGTAGAAATGAGTGACTGACGAATGCAGGGGAGAATGGATTCATAAATGGATGGGGAGATGAAGGGGCAGGTCAATCAGGAGTATCTGGTGGAAGAACAGTTGCAGTGGGGCTCTCAACAAAGCAAGGTGAAAAAAAGGAAGGCTGTAATGAGGCGCTAGATGTTTGCACTGTTTGATTCCAAGATAGAGTGGTTTCAAGTATTGCTAAGTTCCACAGCATGACAATGGATAGATGAGGCAGAGTGGATAATTCACTGGAGTAGTGAATAGTTTATTCACATGGACACTAAAGTCATCTAAGTTGATGGACGGAATTGAAGTGGGGAGGGAATGGGGTGGTGGGGAGTCTGGGAACAAAATTATCAGCCAAGGAGGAGAAGTGACTGGGAAATCAGATGAAGACTGACACAAGGAATGGAGCACAAGCTTCAAAATTTGAAAGTTGCAGTGCGGAGGACTCCGACCCCACTCTCAAATGGGGAGCTCCTTGAAGTGTAGAATGGCCCTCATTGGAAAGGCAAAGAGATGAAGCCTTGTTCTCAGAAGAGTGGCTGGATTCAGTTAAGACAATGAGATGAGGGAATCTCCTGAGTAGAGTTTAAGGACACAAGGGGTGAAGTCTCTCCTTTTGTCACTTCACTATGCGCTATGGTACATGGGTGTGCCAGAGGGGAGCAAAGGGTGGCTTGAGTCATAGACCCTCCAACTGATGCAGAGAAATGTTTTGTTCGTGTTTCTACTCCCCAAACCTAGAATACTGGAAGACACCTGGAATCATTTTCAAACACTTTTTTCTTTTCTTTTTTTTAGGGGAATGGATTTTTTTGGTAACATTTTTTCTTTTTTGAGGGGTGGTGGTTTAAAGCATTTAACTCTTATCAAAAGTTTGATTTCTCAGTCTTTTGCTGACTGCTACATTCTACTTTGACATTCTGAAAACTAGTAATCACTATCCAGTAATTTAGATGCTGATCTGAAAGAGTATAAAAGATTCATTTTTACCTGTATTTTCATCCGTACACATCTGGTGAATAGATCTCTGTGATGAGCTTCTCTTGGTATCATTTGCTTCTTTTTTCCCTAAAAATGAAGCAGTAGAATATGTTCTGGTTAATTTAGATTTTGATTACTGAGGTTGTAGTTAACTCAAGTGTATTATACACATAGCTTCACATTCACAGCCTTACAAAGGATCACAAAGTTTGATCTAGATACTGTCAGTTAGAGGGTTGGGGAGGATATAATCACAAAAATCACATGCAGACTTTTAAAAGTCCACCTCATCATTACAGAGGAAAAATGCTATATGTCTAGTCAATTCACTGTCATTAAGTAAAAACTATTCAGCCATTTCTTCTAGTAAATTTGAGCTCTACAAACTTGCTTTTTGCTTATAATACTAATGAATGAAATTCAAGAGTCTTACTCTAAAAATGCAAGTCTTCACAACTAAGTAAAGCATCTCAAGAAAAGAGCTGAAAGAATGTCCTCTTCCCCTCCAGCTCTGGAAAGAGATGTGGTTTTTGGATTATAAACTTGATGAAGGAATCCATTTTGATAAGGCATTAAATTGAGAACTTCTACAAAATATCGATATTATTTTCTCATGCAATATGGAGATTTATGTGACTATTCATACCATTTGTCCCATTCTGTCTTAAAATATATCAGATCTTGGAAGTCTTGCTTAAATAAAGGTCATACAAGAGCATGAAGATTCTAGGTACAGAAAGAACCTCCAAAGAAAACCTGCAATTCTGATTGGTTGTCTTAGTTGACAGGCTTAGGTTCAGGGTGAGGCAGAGAAAATACAAGCTGATTTGGGAGCAAATTGTAGTGATGAAAATAATAATAATAATAAAGTGCTCATAAAAGACTAGGACATGTCAAAAAGGCACAGGAGCCAACCTAAAGAGCACCCAATGGCCAAAGCCATTTGAGCAAGAAAATAAATAAAAACAGTATTAGATTATAAACAAAAGACTAAAATAAATGTCATTGGATTCAGGCTGATTTAAATAAATAACTGAAAACATAAAGAAATGGGGTATAAGAGACACTCTTCCTTTAAAGAATAATTCTGATCAATAAGTGTAGAAGCAATAAGGGAAATGGAATGTCACCACTAAAACAGCACAATAATAATTTCTACAAGCAATGTTCATTAATGGAAGCTAAAATTAGTAAGTGAAAGTTTAAAGAAAGAGAGGGCATAGTCTCAAAATATACCCCCCCCAATAAATACTTATTAATTAAAAAGAAAAACAGTAATTTCATAATGAAGAAATCTGGCAAATACCTTAACCAAGTACTCAACAGTTACATTAATCATAAATCTCCTCTGGTAGGCAAAATGGCTCTCCCAACCAATTTCCAGATTCTAATTGCTGAAACCTAATAAATATGTAATATTCCATGTCAAAAGGAACTTTGCAGATATAATTAAGGTTATAGACCTTAAAATAAGGAGATTATCCTGGATTGTTTGGGTGGACCCAAGCTAATCACTTGAGCACTTACAAGCCAAGAAGAACTTTCTCCAGTTGGAATCAGAGAAGTGCAACAGAAGAAGAGGTCAGAGAGATTCAAAGCCTGAGAAGAGCTCAACCCACAATTGCTGGCTTGACGATGGAGGGGCCAGGGACCTGAGTCCTACAACCAGGAGGAAATGAGTTCTGCCAACACCCCGAGTGAGCTTGGATATAGATCCTCCTCCGTTAGCCTCTAGATAAGAGCCTAGGCAGCCAACACTTTGATTTCAGCTTTGTGAGACCTTAAGCAGAGTATAAAGCCTACTGGTCGTTTGATTTACAGAACTGTGAGATAATAAATAGGTATGGTTTTAAGACACTAAGTTTGTGCTAATTTGTTACACAGCAGTATAAAACTACTATACTCACTGCTGTGTATCACTAAAAATCAATTTTTCTCTCCTCATAATTGATTTGTTACTCCGATAAGAAATAGATACACATTCTATGAACCTATCTGTATCAGATGCCCTGGCTCTTAAAGGCTGCCCCTCTAGTCTCTACATGCTGCTTTCCTTCCCCACGCCCATTCGCTCCAAATGTGGACACTGATTGTATATTAACTATATTCTCTTATTTTCTGTATTCTTGATGCTCTTGCATCTGGAGCCTTGCTGATCCTGGATAAACTGCTCCTCCCAAGGCCAGCTAATTCCTACAGATAGCAAATGACTCCCCTGTGAGGGTCACTTTTATTTGCAAATGAACCAATCCAGAGCCTAAACTTACCAATTACCTTATTTATCAAGCTGTCACAAGTTGAGCCAATATCCTCAATCCTAATCATCCCAGGGCCAGGTCCCAGACAACTGAGGACAGCCCCTCTACCCCAGAGCCCACTGAAATCATTCAAACTAGCCAATCCTAAACCTTCCTGGCCTGTTCGCCCTCCCTTGTCCATTCCTCCCCATACACACACATGCACACGCACACGCACACACATACACACACACACACACATACACACACACACACAAAGACACAATGAAGTCTTCTCACCCATGCTTTCCCCTCACTCCTTCTGTATCCCCCTGGTGCTTCCCCATGTGGCCCTGTGTAGCTTGGCATGCCCTCTTCTCTTGGAAAACATGAATAACAAACTATCTTTTCAGTGGCCATCATCTCCTAATCTGCTGGCCTCACCATACCTAAATAAAAACAAAATCCCAGGTACATTTCTAAACACACTGGTCCCTTAACTGCCCAGAGGAGCACTAAGAGCAGGTTTTTACCTAATGGTAAAAATGGGATGACAGAAACAGAATAGGCTGCACATGCAATAGAAGAAGTCAGTCTTGGAGCCCACAGGATGGAACCTAATCCTGGGGGCCCAGCCCAGCCCCAGAGACTTCCAGGGAGTGGAAAGCAACTCAACTCCCATCCATCAAGACTCTCCTGGCCTTCCAAGCCTTGGCTCATCATGGGAACACAATCCTTTAAGTAAAAATGCTTTTTCTCAAACTTCAGAGTGACTTCTATGACCCAGATAAGGCAATCATAAAAGATGCTACATCTTTCCAAAAGTTTTGTTCCTCAGCATTAAATAGCACCAGGCACAGAACCCCAGACTTCTAATCTAATTCCATATTTAGGAAAGGAAACATTTACCTCATCCAGGGAACAGTCCTGTTAAAATCATAATACATTCACTTGACTATAGAGATCATATAACAAGTTAGTCAATTGCCCCACATGCAGGTTTATGCTGACTTCAGGGCTTTCATTGGGGAGGGGGTGGGAATGCCTTATATTTACATATCTAAAAGATTCATTTTAGCAATAGTCCGCAAACAAAGGCAATCTGCTAGGAAGTCAAAGTCTCTCACTTCCAGAATGGTAACTGCCAGCCACCTCCAAACAGAAGTTTTCCCACTAAGAGACAAACAAAATGAAAGTTCTTTCTTCTCCAGGCACCGTGTCAACATGCTAAAGGTCGCCAATGAACCTGGAGTCACTGCTCAGGGCAGCTCTTTACTGAACTGTATATCTGTTTTCAGCAGATGATTTTGCTTAGAAAAGAATTACCACCTTTACGAAATGAATACTCATAATGCAGTAGACATGAATCCAAAACACAAAGAATCTTGATTAAATACTTCACTGCATGCCTATCAAGTTCATGTACATATCATTGTAGTTACCATTTATAGTTAAAGGACAGCCTTTCCATACTTTTGGTGAATACTTGAGAATTTCATGTAAAAATCTCCAGATTTTTTTTTTGGTATTTTCTTGCAAAATCTTAGGTACTCATTTAAAGTTCTGCTTACAATTAGATGAATAAGACCTTGTTTTTAAAGTTTGTGCAATTCAAGATCCAAGTATGAATCTGGATACTTGTGATCTAAAATGCAAGCCTATTCTTTCTAAAACTACATTGTCTTTTTTTTTCAATTGAAGTATAGTCAATTTACAATGTTGTGTCAATTTCTGGTGTACAGCACAATGCTTCAGTCATACATAGATATACATATATTCATTTTCATATTCTTCTTCATCATAAGCTACTGTAAGATATTAAATATATTTCCCTGTACTATACAGTATAAACTTGTTTATCTATTTTGTATATACCAGTCAGTATCTGCGAATCTTGAATTCTCATTTTCTCCCTTCCCACCCTCCTCCCTCCTGGCAACCACAAATCTGTATTCTATGTCTGTGAGTCTGTTTCTGTT